TAACTTGTAAAATTTCTCTGTTCCTTTTTTTTTCGTAGATTCGGCAAAGTTTAATAAAAGATTTTAACGAGACAAATTTGTGGCGAGTCGCATTAATCTCTATTAGAGTAAATATTTCGCTAACAATTAAAATAATTTTTTTTAATATTTAATTCACAACGTTCATTTATCGAATTTTGTAGACAGCCGCTCTAGGTGTCAATTTAGTAGGAGCTAATAGGGTTATTTTAGTTGACGGTGAATGGAATCCAAGGTAAGTTAATTTTGAATGACATGTAATTAAGGACTGAGCAAAAATACTTAATTTATTTGTACCTAGTCATGCAGAACAAGCCATTGGCAGGGTAAGTGTATAAAAAGCATGATTATTCATTAAACTTTTTTCGTCATATTATTTAATTAATTCTTTTAATTATTATTCAATTAGGCATATCGATATGGTCAGACGAAACCTGTATTTGTTTACCGTCTAATAACATCCGGAACATACGAACATAAACTCTTCTTCAATTCAGTACATAAAATGGGTTTATCAATGTAAGTTTATAGGATATCATCATTATATACATGTTTTCTTTAACTTAATTTATTATATAAATTTAGCCGAGTGGTGGATCAAAAAAATCCCGAAAGAAAATTCACTAAAGAAGATCTAAATTCAAAAATGTTGGTAACCCCCGAAGCTAATATGCCAACTAATCTACCTGCGCCTGAATCTATTAATTATGAAGATGATGTCTTGGTTAGCGTTGCTTTAGCGTAAGTCTTGATTATCTTATTTCTTTGCTTCACTGATAATTGCTCTCTCACTAAAATAAATAAATACCTATGTAAATAGGCAACGCCAAAGTATCATTGATATTCAGAAAGTTTCATCTTTTTTTATCGATGATTCTCAAGATCTCAATGAAGAAGATAAAAGACATGCTCAGGAATTGTTGATCGAAGAAAAAGCAAAATTGAATTTACGAATCAACTAGTCTATCGAGAGGATTTTTTGTATATAGTATGACTTTATAATAAAGAAAATAATACATAACCTTTTCTACTTGAAATGTATGATATTTTTTTTTCAAATTTACTTAATTTAGATTTAATAGATATTAATAATAAGATTTTATAGATTTCATTTGATGTAGATTTAATTTAATTTATACTTTAATTTCAATGTATATGATTAGTAAGTTAAGTGATATTTTTTATAGAAAATATTTAGTAACTAGGTTTAACATGTTACAAAATAAATCATAAATTAGTTATTCCATACTACCATACTACGTTACGGATAACTAGGTTATTCACGGATATATATGTAATCTCATGCGCATAAAACGCATGCGATTATTTATAAATCCCCTTGTTATATGTAGCGTGGTGTGGAATGATAGATAGACTTATCTGACATGCATCGATGGATTTTTCTCCTTTATTATAGAGCATTTGTTGGCAAATGACCTCGTCAATTTACTAAGTCAAAATGACAAGGTCATTTGAAAAAAAAATAGTAAGTGAACTTATAACTTACCTTCACTGTCAGTGCATAAATTACTTTCAAAATTATATTAACATACATACATAATTAGCGATCTGTGACAGAAGTCGATTGAGTGATGTTTGATTTCGTCAACTTGTGCGCATTTTGTAACTTTAGTGTTCGTTTGGCCTCATTAGTTCGCATTTTGAGTGCTCATCATTCTAGAGATTAGATTTTTTTTACATTTTGTCGAAAAAAAAGGACTTAATAAAAATATGTGGTTTGGTCATGCTAGTAAGTTTTCTCTTAACTCCCCAGCAGCTCAAAAATGGATCAGTCTCCTATTTCTAAAGAAGAAAGTTCTGCTTTATGTCCGAAAAATTTAACCGCAAATATACCGGAAACCACACAACTTCATTACCATATTAGGATAAATGATTTACAGTATCACGCGAACTTCATAGATAACCAATAGGACTATAGTCAATAGAATTTTGTTCGACGATATATTACAAAAAAAAAAAAATTCTTTTTAAAGGTTAAATAAAAAAGATGACAATTAATAGCAATCAACTATTAGATTCAGTTGGAGACTCCGAAGATGATGACGAATTTTTAGTTTGGTAAGAGCGCCTCGAATAT